TGGCATGCTCTGGTCCATGGGGTCACGAAGAGTCGGACACAAGTAAATGACTAAACAACAAAGGGCACTGAAATGCATTATACGGTTATTTTTTTAGCTACCAGCAGGTGGAGCTGTTGCTCCTAGTGACTCAGTTATAAGGAATGTTCTATGGAAAGGAACAGTGGTCCTGCCCTGGGTGGGCCAAAAGGATTAAGAATTTTGATGCTGGATTGCTTGCGTTGATCATGGATCTAAAGGTCCCTGTCATGTACCATAACAAATTCATATGTACTACAATCCTTCCAATCTTTGTTATTCAAAAATGCTGATTGTGTAAATAAGAAGCCTGAGTAGCGTTGCTGCTGGACAGGATTATGCTAATAAATGAATTTTAACACTAGGCAGATGCTGTTTTGAGCAGTGGGTTGACATGTGTTTTGACAGCTGAAAATGCCAATTTTAGCATATACAGTCCAGGCGCAACACTTTGGTAACAGACTCTAGACAGGGAGGCTCTAGCTGTCCCGGGTGACCAGATGCAGAAGGGAGGGGCTGTGGCTCAGTAGCAGAGAGACGCAGCATTTTCCCGGCTTGATATCCCTGGAAGCTAAAAGGATCACGAAGCAGGGCTGGGGAAGACCTGTCTTGGCATGAGAACAGATGCTAGTCCCAGGAACAGGCAGATCAGGATCTGTTATTTTGGGCAGAGACGCCTGTGCCACAGTAGTCCATCCTCTCATAACTTCCAGATTTGATTACTGCAACATGCTCTACATGGGGGGCTGCCCTTGTAGACACCCTGGAAACTTCAACTGTCCCAAAACGTGTTTTCCATTTTGTAAATCAACCTTAAGAATAAAATAAGATGGAATCAGGATTAAGGGGTTTTTCTCGGGACATGTGTTGTGTGTCCCATTGATGTGGTGGTTTTGGTACTCGTCCTTCTTCTGGTGAGAAATGGGGGATCGGGGAGGAGGGCCAGCTGGTGAGGAGTGAGAAATGTCCCTGTTTTCATCTGAGGAATGTTGGAGGGTAGGGCATTCTCTCTGGCAGACCACAAGTTGCGGAATTCCACCCATACAGGTGCGTTTGTCTTCTCTATACAGTGGCACCTCGGGTTAAGTACTTAATTCGTTCCGGAGGTCCGTTCTTAACCTGAAACTATTCTTAACCTGAAGAACCACTTTAGCTAATGGAGCCTCCCGCTGCCGCCGTGCCGCCGGAGCACGATTTCTGTTCTCATCCTGAAGCAAAGTTCTTAACCCGAGGTACTATTTCTGGATTAGCGGAGTCTGTAACCTGAAGTGTATGTAACCCGAGGTACCACCGTACAGGTTTGGGCGAATGCTGAAAACACATCTTTTATCCTAATGTTTGATCCCTGCGCTGTGTGTTTTCAGGACCTACTCCATTATCTGTGATTGTGATCTGTTTTAGCTTTTAATTTTAAGTTGTTGTAACCAGTGCTTTTTTTTCTGGTGGGGACGCAGGGGTACACATACCCCTAAACATTTTGAGGGGCAGTATTTCAATTTGAGTAGGAAAATGAGAGTACCCCTAAACATTTTTTTAGAAAAAAAGAGCACTGGTTGTAACTCACCCTGACACCTGCTGGTGAAGGGCAGTTTAATCTTCTAATAATAATAATAATAATAATAATAATAATAATAATAATACTTCCTGTCTGCTGGATGATTTGCAACTAGTCATCAAGGATGTCTTGTGAAGAGCACATGCTTCTGACTGCAAGTTCCTTCCTCAGCATCTCCATGTAGGAGTTAGGTTCCTGTCTGAAACTGGAGAAATTACTTTAATTGTTGGACTTTTGTTCCCATCCATAGTCAGGGGTGATGGGAATTGTAGTCCATAAAATCTGGAGGGCATCATGTTGTCTGGTGTAAGTAATTAGCTCCACCCTTTGAGAAAGTCCTGATCTGGTTCTCTGGATTGTGGCCCAGCTCTTTACTTAAAGGTGCCAACATGCCAAGAAAGGAAGACGCTTCCTGTTTCTCCAAAGAGGTGCATAGAAAAGGGAACTTTCAGTCCTTCACAGCATTTTTTCCCACCAGCTTGCAGCTGAAATTTCCCCGCTGTGGTCAGTAAGTAGAACACCACCTGTCTGCTTTTGAGAAGCTCCCTTAGCCAAGCTGAACCACTGTCTGGCCCAAGTCAGTGTCATATGTTCCAAGTCTGTCCACACCTCTGGGTTGCAAAATCTCCATCGTGGTTTTACTAGAGCTCCTAAGATCTGCCACCAATGGAAGCGAGGGGGCAAAATGGTTTCCCATGCAGCCACAGCAGGAAACCCACATGACCATGTTTCAAAAAGCAGTTTGCTGGCTGGCATATTTCACTGAAATTTGTTTGTTTTCATAAAATTTATGCACCGCTTGATTGTAAAGAACCTCAGGTTTACAGAAGGAATAAAACGGTGAAATTACTGTCAAAAACAATTATTTGAAACATTTTTAAAACCTGCGATGAACTTTAAAACACATGTCAAGTTTCTGCATTTCTGGGTAGGCTTGCCTAAGCAAAGATGCTTTTAGCAGGGGCCAAAAAGAGTAAGGGGCAGGGAGTTCCACAGTGTACTAAAAGATTGATTTCTTACAAACTCAGAATGAATATTATGTGGCACATGTAACTGTGCCAGTTTCACAGATTGAAGCAGTCAGGTGGGCATATATGAGGTAAGGTGATCTTGAGGGTTAACTCATGCGCTTGCTTTCTCTCCATTTGGGTACATATTGTGTTAAGTTGTGGGTGAACATATCAGACGACACAGCGATTCTTCAAACAGCTCTTGTTTATTCACAGGCCAGAACTGAACTGAAGGGGCCAGCCAGCCTGTTTATATAGAGCTCCACTACAACACAACAGTAACCACTTTCTATAACTATCCAGTCACTGAACGTCACTTTCAATTCCTTATTTGCATATGTGGACCTGAGTGAAAACTATCTACAGTATCCCCCTGCTGGCCCAGGGTGAGAACTTCAGTACATAACATATTGTCACCTGTATGCTCTTAAATCAGGAATGAAAAACCTCTGGCCCTACAAGTGTTGGCAGACTTACTTTGAAGTAAACAGCCTGTGCAGGTGCTGATTTTAAACTCCCAGGTATGTTCGTTTTAACTTATAAAAGTAGTGGGTTGTATCCAACTATGTTCAACCCAGAGTGGTTTCACTGAAACTGATAGATCTACTGTAAGTTTGTTATGCTCATTAACTTCAATGGGTTAATCTGAGTAGAAACACCATGTACAACCTTTTGTTTTTTATTCATGATTGAAGGGTATCCAAACAAGGAAGTGTTTTATTGTAAACATGCCTGGCACATTTTGGCACAATTGCCTTGATCAAGAGCTTATTCGCATATTTCTCTGCAAACTTGATCGAGAAATCTCTGTTGCAAGAGCGGTTTCTCGATCGTGTTTGCAAAGAAATAGGTGAATTAGCCTTTGGTAAAGGCCATTGTGCCATCTTTGAGACGCGCTGCTCTTTCTTGCATGATGCCTTTCTGTGTTGCCTGGTTTTTTGTTTGTGTGTGTGTGTGTGTTTCCTTTTTAATTCGTTAACATTTACAGAGAGGTAGCCTCTAATGAGTAGTCCATGAAAAATAATGACACATTTGCACTAACCAGGCAGTGAGTGAATGGGTACTAAATGTTAGCAAATCTAAACTGTTCGGCTTCATGATGATTTGACATTGTATTGCATTGTTTAATTGAATATTATTATAATGTTGTTGTTGTTGGTTGCTTGAAAACTTCCCTGGAATGGAAATGTGAGCAAGTTATGAAAAACACAATGCCTGCTGATGATCAAGCTGCTGTGAAATAAGTTTGTAATCCTCCTTATCCCGGTTCCCCAGCAGTTCTCTGAGGCTTCTGTCTTTTCCAAAGTTGTCTGCGCTTTTGCTAAGGAAACAGCTCTACAAGGAGAATCCTCCCTTCCTGAGGCTGAGTTGTTAATAATGAAATGACAGATGGCTTTTATCTATAAGGGACATTCCTTCTACCCCGCTCTTAATCCTGGGATTCTCTTTGTGGGCAGCTGAATGGTTCGAGGGCCTGCATTGTAAAAAATATCCATTAAGCATTGCAAGTGAAGCCCAAATCCACCAAGGGCTACTCTGCACCTGACTGTGCACTAAACGTTAGCAAATCCATTTATATAATGCAGACAGAGTCGAGAATTTTTATTTTTCAAAAACTCAGCTCCCTGTTTGAAAGGCTGGGTGCGGTGGAGAACATAAGAGAGAGTCTGCTGGATCAGGCCAGCCGCATTGTGTTCTCAGAGATGCCTATGGAAAGCCTGAAAGCAGAACCTGAATGTAGCAGCAATCTCCTCTCCCCACCTGCGACTGGTTTCCAGAAGCACAGAACATAATAATCGTGGTTGGTTCTTGGTTGCTGCTGATAAACCTTCCATAATCCTCTTTGAAAGCCGTCCACGTTGGCGGCCGTCACTGCCTCCTTGCCGGAGGGAGTTCCATAGTTTAACTATGTCCTGCTTGAAGAAGACTTTTATTTTCCCTTCGGCTTCGCTGGATGTCCCTGCGCTCTAGTATTATGAGAGTGAGGAGAAACAAAACAAAACAAAACACTTCTTATCTTTTCTGCACGCTGTGAATAATTTGGCTGCTTTTACTCGCGCTTTCTGCAAACGAAAAAGCCCCCAAATGCTGCGACCTTTCCTCAAAAGGGCTGTTACTCTTTTCCCGTGATCATGTTTTGGTCGCCCCTTTCCCTCCAAGCTCTACACTGTTCCTTTTTTTAGGGGGGGGGAGGAAGATTCGTAGCCGGGATTCAGTGCGAGCCCCCGCAGGTTGCACCGAAAATCCAACCTCGGAGCTAATTTTCAAAAGCGGACTTGGGAGAGTTAAAGAGCTCCTGTTGACAGCTGGCAAGCCGGCCGGCCAATCCTAGCTGAAGCTGCTTTGCTGGCCACGCCCCCGTCCTTTCCCTTGCGCTCGCTGATTGGCGGAGCGATGGAAACCCGGGCAGGCGCGCGCCCTTCCTATGCTCCATATATAGAGAGAAGCGTAGGGTTCAATAGAAATGTGAGTCTTTTTTTCTGGGGTTTTTTTCTCCCCCTTCGTTCGATCGGATTTGCAGCCTGGATTTGCGATTTTCCTCTAGTGCTCTGCTAGACGCAGGACCTCAGCCAGCACCGGTTGGTTGTGAAAAGCCCGAACTGATTTCTTTTTCCTGCTTCCCATTATTTTGGCTTAATAATGGCCAAAAGGAGCTCTTTGTTCATTCGAATAGTGGAAGGGAAAAATCTACCAGCCAAAGACATGTGAGTAAAACAAGCAAGCAAGCCAAGCTTTCTTTCCTCATTGCCCACCGCTTGTGATTGTTGCTGTTATTTGATCTCTTATTTATCAAACCCCAGTTCTTTGTTGCTGACGAAGCCAGTGGCGGTGTGTTTGTGATCCTCTGTGTGCTTTACTTAGAAGTTCCACTGATCGCAATGTTTTTTGGTAAGTGTGTGCAAGATTGTAGGCGTCGAGTTGCATCCAACTGAAACCTACTCGGAGTAGACCCACTGACTAGACCTATGTATGTCCATTAATTCCAGTATTCTGTGAGTATGACTAATGCTGGATACGGCCCCTTCCCTCTTGCAGATCAACACCATACATTTTAAGTATATCTGTTGCACATTCAAAGCACACAACACTCCCCAATGGATTTTGGGAGCTGTGATTTGTTAAGGGCGCTGGGAATTGTAGCTCTGGGAGGGGAAGCTCCAGTTCTCCGGATTCTTTGGAGGAATCCATGTGCTTCAAATGTGTGTTGAATTTGCTGTAAATGTGTTGTGTGGGTCTGCCCTTTGCCTCTCTATTGTATGTTAAGACTTTGGTAGCTTTTTAAAAAAGAATTGTGAAATAAGTTTCTCTTTCTCAGTTGGTCAGCTGGTGTTTAAAAACATATGGTAGAAGCTTTTCTGCTTCCTCTTTTGGGGCTGAAAAACAAAATCTGTACACTCTGATTCTAGGGACAGGGTTTGCTTTTTCCCCTCCTGAAAAATCTAGCTTTGCCTTCCCCAGTCTGGTGCCTTCCCGACGTTGTGTCACCCAAAACATCTGGAAGGTACCTGGTATGTGACGGCAGATCTAGCCTGAGGAAGCTTACTTATTACCATTTAATTAAAACACAAGCTTGATTGTCAGCCCCTAGCCAACACCTTGTCCTCATTTCAAGCACATTAATTTCTTTCTGTGAGATCAAAAAACGCCATTAACTGCATGTTTTCCTATTCTGTAACAATAAGAAATCAGTTTTGATGAAGAGGTACATCCTATCTCCCACAAACAGTTGCATTCCCACACCAACCCCACCCCGTCTGCCAAGCCAGCCTCATCTACATGGCCAAATATGTTCATAACATTCTTATTTATTTTTTATTTGCTGTCCGACACTGAATTGTTATAGATTCCGGAGGGGTAGTTGTATCAGTCAGCGGCAGCAAAACTGGCAGTGAGTCCGTGGCTCTCTTGAATGGCTCACCATGGCATAAGCTTCTTCTGCCTGATGATGCCACATACAGAGTTATTACAGGCACGTTTCTGAAGCAATTCCCAGTCTCTGCATGAAAGTTGGGTTTAAGACGTAAACTCCATTGGCATGACAAAAGGACAGCACAACATTCAATGCACCTAAAAATAGCAAAATGGCCTGATCGCTGTTAAAACGTATTTTCCTCCCTCGCTCTCTCTTTCTCAAATCGGGGCTTAAATTGTGCCAGATTTCATGCCAAAGCTTAGGCTCTGGAATCTGTTTCGACACCGGAGCTAAGAGCCGCTGTCACCTCTCTTTAGAAATCCTTAATCCAGCACTGTGCAGGATAAACATCATTCTGATGAAATGAGAGTGGAGAAGAAATAGGAAGCAGATAAAAAAGTCTGCCTTGCCATAGGAGGTCAAACACTGCAAACTCTTACTTGATTTGTATTATAGCAAGATCCCCATTTGCCCATCGCTTTGAAATCCACCCTGAAATGTTTTCTTTGTGTCCTTTCCCAGGGATTTGAAGGAAAAATATTGCATTGGGACTGGCCTGCCAGGATGTTGTAGAAAAGATAGGAGTTCTATTAAATGACAGGAGTCGAAATTTTAAAAACGAAAACAGTTTTTAATACCAAGGGCAGAATGCATGGACTTGCTTCACTTTATTCCTGCAACAATCCTGTGAAGTATGTTAGCAGGACCAGTTAATATCTTTGCAGGAGCTTTATTGAAAGCGTCCTGGGTCCCAAAACTACTATGCTTTCGCCTGCCCTTCTGACATGCTTCCCTCACTTGGAACGACTGCCCAATGGTTTAAAAGAACCCCTTAAGAATCAAAATGGAAATGGGCTTCACAAATAAATCATCCTCACTGACCGCTGTTGGGACTAGTAAAGAACTTGGCGAGAGTGCTTCTGAGAGTACAAAGGGCTTAATGTAGCTCTTTCAATCATTTCTCAGTTCTCTTTAGAGCAGTCCTGTAAGATGGGCATGGATTACCCCCAAAGTTCAGGTTTTGGCAAGTAGGGGGCAGAAAGATGAAGGGTTGCCTAAGACCTGCTATTCCTTGCATGGCTATTCAGCAGAGAGCTTGCTGTTCAACAAGGCGAGCCTATTTTTAGGATTTCAGTGATTTATGGCAAAGTTCTGAAGTAAGGTCTTGAATGTGAAGTCTTCTATAAACTCCCAGAAAGCAGGTTCCTGATGCATATAGTCAGTGCTTTTTTTCTGGGGGGACACAGGGGGACGCATACCCCTAAACATTTTGTGAATCTATGTGTGGCCTCATTGAGGGACAGTATTTCAATATGAGTAGGAAAACGAGAGTACCCCTAAACATTTATTTATTTTTTAGAAAAAAAGCACTGCATATAGTAACTTGTACATAAACTGTATGCGGGTAAGATTTGCAAGTACTGTATAACCATGCACAAGTTATGCGCAAGAGAACCCTGCTTTTTGAAGTGTCTCCAGTCACGCACAGAATTTGTTTGCGCAAAGTCTTCGTGCTCTACGTGTAAAGGGGGGGCAGTGTGCACTAGGCCTCTGCTCTCTGTGTGCAATATGTATACATCATGCACATACAACTCTCTATGTGTACCCCATCATTTGATGACATTTTGCCACAGTTAAAGCACTGTGTCACCACTTTAAACTGTCATGTCTTCCCCAAAGAATTATGCGAGCTGTAGTTTATTAACGGTACTGAGAGGGGAGACCCATATACTCCCCTCCCATAGCTACAATGCTAGAGTGGTTTAACAGCCTGCCCTTCTTTACAGGAACCTCCAAAACTTGTTGCTCTGTAAGAGTGAATAGAGTCCTCCTAGACATGAATTATGTGAATGTGGCCTTGGTGCTTTATGGAAGGCCTTGGGGCAATCTCAGGGTGGAGAAGCTAAATCTTCTAAAGAAAGCATTGCAGTAAAATTTAAAAAACTCTATGCAGATATTTGCAAGGACAGTATGGAGAAGAACAAGAAAGGCAATATTCTTTGATGCAAACTTTCTGAAATCTCTGAACTTAAGCTCCCTTCTGAGAAAGATGTGTAGTTTCCTTTGCTTGTGGGCTTGGCTTGCAATTATAATGTGGTTTTGATCCAAAACAAAATGGGTTACTTCCTATACCTTAAGAGGCAGGTGGTTGGTGCAGAACGTCCTCCCCTTCACAATTGCAGCCAGCTCTTAAGTGTGCTTGCCTCCGAGGTGGCCTAGATTTGCTGACAACATTGTGCTAGAAAGTGGAAGCCTGTTTAAACCTTCCCTTATCATACTGATCTTCACCCAAGTGAAGGGAAACATTGTAGGGGGCAGCCTGCAGTTTGAGGAAATGGCTTCTCCTCCCTCCCCCCTAAAAGAGAGACTTGGGCCGCATTCACACTATATATTTAAACCATTATACCAGTCACGGCCTTCCCCAAAGAATCTGGGGGGGGGGGTTCTGAGAGCTGTTAGGAGACCCCCAACCCCACATTTAAAGGGGCCGGGGAAGGCCAGACAACACAGGGATGGGGGAGGGTGTTGTGTGGATGCCCCTACATTAATGGGAGGGAGACAGGCAGGTGCAAAACTACATCTTGTTCTTTGTGTGCGGACAAGCCCAGATTTCTCATGTGCAAGGTCTTTGGTTGCAGCGCATAGTCTGGCAATCACTTATTTAGATCCTTCTGTTATCGTGTGTCTCTTGAACCCTTTTTCTGGCTGCTTTCCTTTGGCGTGCTCTCCCCCCCCCTCCGGTATCAGGAGCAGCTGATGAAATAAGAAACAAGTCGAAGGGGTTGGAGGCCTTGGAGGCCTCGCTTCTCTCCTCTCTCAGCTTCTCTCCCCCCCCCCCCCCAGTTCATGAATGCCCCAGGTCAACTCCCTGCATTGTAGTCTTCTGTGACAGCTGAAAAGGCTAGTCCATTAATATATTAAAATGAGAACTTTTCTCTGGAAATGTCATGGTGCCCTGTGAACTGGATGAGAGCCCGGGCAATCCCCAGCTATTATTGGGTCCCCTCCCAGCTACACTAAGCTTTTTCTTCTTGTCTGCCCTCTATTACTGTGTGTGGGGCTGAGGCCTACAGAGCTGAGATAGTGGAGCCATAGGGAGCCAGTGTTTACATTCAAGCAGGGCAGAGCGGTACAGCCTTTCCAGGAGGGTACCACTTCAGATTGTAGGGGTGTGTGACTGATAAATTGCATTTATATCCCACCCTTTCCTCCAAGGTGGCATAGAATTGTAGAGTTGGAAGGGACCCCGCTGCGATGCAGGAATCTCAGCTAAAGTATCCATGACAGATGGCCATCCAACCTCTGCTGAAAAACCTCCAAGGAAGGAGAGTCCGTCACATCTTGTGGAAGTCTGTTCCACTGTCAAACACCTCATACTGCCATAAAGTTCTTCCTGATGTTTATTCGGAAGCTCCTTTCTTGTAACTTGAATCCATTGGATCGAGTCCTACCCGCCAGAGCAGGGAAAAACCAAGCTTGCTCCATATTCCATGCGGCAGCCCTTTGAGATATTTGAAGATGGTGTACATGGTTCTCCTCCTGCTCCTTTAATCCCCACAACAGCCCTGTGAGGTAAGTTAAGCTGAGAGGCAGCGACTGGCCTCCAGGGTCACCCAGTGAGCTCTTCATGGCTGAGCCCCGCTCTCTCCCAGGTGCTAGTCTGACATGCTAACTCCGGCATAGTCAAACTCTGGCCCTCCAGATGTTTGGGACTACAATTCCCATCATCCATAACCACTGGTCCTGTTAGCTAGGGATGATGGGAATTGTAGTCCCAAACATCTGGATGGC